ACATGACGAGCAAATGCAGCAGAACAATCATGTGGTTTCTTATTATCCTATTAATCCATTTGAAGCAGACACGAACAATAACAAAGCCTGGCCTTTTCTGGACAATGCCAGTATTAACATCACAAGCATCACTGCTACATTCATTTCTGAGTATGAACTCAATTTCTCCTTAAAAGTTAGATCTAGATAAAGTAAAAATAAAAATAAAATGTCTACAATGTGTGAAACTGTAAAGCACAAACCTACCCTGCTGACTTCTTTAGCTGATGTGTCACCTGTAAAGAGAAAATCACAATGTTAAAAGCATTCTGAAACAAACTTAGATTTCACTATAGGATCTTAGATTCTTACCTAGTGGATACACCATGAAGAATCAGGCAGTGTGGAAATTTTTTGCTGTGCCACATTATTTTTAACTAGTTAGCTAGTTCTGCCGGGTACGTAAAACAATAAAATAAAACAAAACTATGCAACCTTTTAAGGCCAAAAAACTTCTACAAACAAAGACTTTAATTTATATGGAATAAAATGCATCCTTAAAACATTTGACTTGTTTGGTCTGAGTCTGCTCATGAAGACTCTTCAACCTGTTCCACTATACATTCCCAATTACTACTTGTGGCCACAGTGGCAGTTTTTTGGCAAAGGTTGCAAACTGTTCTTTAAGTAATATTGGATAGTAAATAGGATTCATTATAATTATTTGAAGCAATTACATAAGGACACAAGTTGATGCTACTGTTGGTGAAAACTCTGCAGCACCAGCCAATGTTTCACTGAACAAAACACTTTCGGGTTAAATCACAGCTTCCACAGCTGCCTTACTATGCAAAGGCAAAGGTAATCATTGCTCTATACATATGCACAGTCTTTGTCTGCATTAAAAACCTGAAATGCAACTAGATGAGCAACACAGGAATCTGGCTGGAGCTGGGTGAATATTCCGCAGCGGATTAGTGCACTGATGGATTATGATGGCACAGCACTATAAAAAAAGCAAGCAAGCAAAACCAAATGTTGCCCCCACAACAGTAATCAGATAAAGAGTAACTCAGACATTCGCTTAAATGATGCTTCTTTAAAAACAATATTAAGAGAGGTATTCATCTAACTTGACAAGTGCAAAATTTTGTGGCTTTGAGTACAAATTCATGGTGTGATTTCAGGCTGTTGGAGAGACAGCAGACGTATGACTATTATCTTTGGACATAGATACTGAACTATGTGATAATAATGAAAGCCTCAGCCAATCATCACAGTTTTTGGGCTTACAGGCTGGGAGTGGGTCAGCGTGGGCTACTTGGGTTGAAAATAAAACCATTCACTTGGCTGAAGTCGTTCTTCATTACACATGGGTCAAGAGCACACGAGAACAGTAACTGCTCAGGCTGCTTTGATAATGTTGTGTGTTCAACGCATGCAAAATGAGCAGATTTCAGAAACATCTTTGGAAATGCTGACTTGAGCTGGTCCTCTTTTAAAATGAACCTCTTTGTACATGTGAGGAAAGAAATGACAGCCATCTACATTTTTTGTTGTTTTAAACATTCCTCCTGTATGCTATGAGTTTCCTAATTTAGCCATGAGAGCTATTTTAGAATGAATCCCTAGTCGAGCCTGACGTCAATCACAGGACAGAGCTGCACATGAAAGAGACAAAAATTCTTTGAGAAAGGAAAAATACAACTCTTCAGACAGAATCTTTTCTTTAAAATAACGAAGCTTATTAGGCCATGAACCTTTTTGAAGAACTTAGCGCAGTTGGTGGTTGTCACAAACACCATTTCCACTTATCATTATCGTTATTGTGAGGTGTTGCAGTGTCTCTAGACTCTACTGGAGGGATGAACACCATTCTTCCCAAAGATATTCCCTCATTTGGTGTTTTGATGATGGTGGTGGGGACACTGTCTAACATGTCACTCCAAAGTCTCCTATAGGTGTTCAGCTGGGTTGAGATCTGGTGACTCCGAAGGCTGTAGCATATGATTTATGCCATTTTCATACATTGACCCCCTCATGTCCTATGGATGAGGACATTGTAATTTTGCATATATTTGCCATTGGACAAATATTAGTCTTATTATTTTACTCATATCATTCAACATTGCATGAAAGCTTTCAGTTTCCTAAAGGGTTTAATTCCCTGTACCAGGCCTTGTGGGTCTCAGCAACATTCAGAGTTCCTCTTGGAGGAAATGATCTCAGAAATGGTCTTTGTGGCATTGCAGCTTCATTTCGCTGTAGCAAACCAACGCTGCTGGCATTTCATGTGCAGCGGTCTCAGTGTGTGCACAAAGCAGTGTCTACACACTGAAAAAAGTAAGGTGACCTGCAGAAACTTCCTGCGCCTGGGAAGCACAGAGATTTGAAATCTGCTGTGTTGAACCACTTGACTGGTTGGACCAGTTCCGCTAAGCATACAGGGCCATGCATACATTCAGCATGTGCAGATCCAGCATGGCTCTCATATTGCAGGATTTCCTAGCCATGATTTTGTTTCTTGTGGAAAAAAAGTGGGTGAGCAAACGTGTGTGCTGTTTCCTTTTGTAAAGCCTTTAACATCAAACTGGCTCTAAAATACACACTGACAATTTCGCTGACCCATTTTGCAAAAATAACATCTCTGTTTATTACTACAGTTCTATAAAAACTTTCACATATTTTGTTCATAGAATGTCAGATCACATGTTTATGCATACTTTTAGCAAATTTTAAAAATTAAGTTGTTTATTATGTATTTGGTTTCACAGAAAGTCTTGTTGTGGTACATGAACTGCTCTGATTGCTCATATAATGTGCATTTTGAACCATTGTAACAGTTAAGAAAGAGCAGCAGACAGCAGAAAAAACCTCTCATGGACAATCTTTGTAAAATCACAAGAAACACAGCAAAGGTAAAATAAAGCAATCCACATGATGTCACATAGGAGAAACTCTCTCCTGTCTCTGCATCTAAAATTTCTTCTACCCAGGCCTCCATTAATTGTTGGCTATTTCTGTGTATGTTCGTCACAGAATCATCAACTTTTCACCAGATTCAGCAAGAGGGAGTCAAATGAGCTCAATTGTTAATAAATCTGTCATCTGTTATCAAATTGCATGATGAATTACATTATTTTTACTGCAGAATGCTTTGTTCATCAGATAAAAAATATCAGTCTAAAGAAAGTACAGCAAACATAGACTGTAGGTCTATAGTATTTATTAAAATTCAACTGATAATTTAATCACAAGATGAGAACATCCACTGCTGCAGCTGGACAGCATGCTGCTCAGCGCTTGGTCTCTGTGTTTATTACACTGGTTCCCGAGGTGTGGAATGTCATCTGCTCCTTCTAGACTCACTGTCTTTGATCCAAAGCACTTTTAAGATTAAGTTAAACATTAAAAAGTTTGTTGTGGAGCATGTAGAAAAAGTTTCCATGAGAAAAACATTGTTTGTGTTTCTTCTGCCTACCCACATTAGAATTTCTACATCACAGTATTATCTGGTTCTTTCTTACAATCATATCACTCCACTCCGATCTGGGATCTGCTGTTAAATGTAATAAAGTCATACATTTCTGCAATAACTACTGCACAGAAAAAGATGTTTTAAGGTAATACCAAAAAGTGCTAAGTAAATAAAATAAAATCCATGATAATATAAATAATAAACTAAAAAAAAAGAGACAAATAATGACAATTCAGGATTCAAAAACTGCAGTCAAGTCATTTTGATTTGCTCCATAACCATGCAGTCTTACAGAGTACCCTTTCTGATGATGCAAACAGTTCACAAATATGCACAAAGACCTTTGGTCAACTGTTTGATTAGACATGGTGATAAATGATTTGAAGATTTTGATTTGATTTGATTTGATTTGATTCTTTCAAACATGTAAAGACAGTCAATATGTCAACACACATAATTTCACACATATCTACAAATGCATTATCAATTTACTTATACCTAGTACATGCTTGAACGGAGTAGGAAGAAGTTAGACTTATCCAGTCCTACACCATAACATCATCTTATCATCATTGGTTTGCAAGCAGTATCTCTACATAGAAAATTATGTTCTACACCACGCTAGTGATATACTAAAAAATATTACAGATTGTTAACATTCTTACATAATTACATACTTTGATAATTATCTTCTACATCACACAAGTAGAATTATTACATAGTGTTAACATTCTTACATAATTACATACTTTGATAATTATCTTCTACATCACACAAGTAGAAATATTACATAGTGTTAACATTCATACACCACACCCACAATGTTCCATCTAATTAATCATTAAACCTGTACCTTGCATATATCTTGATTGACACATACCTTTATATTTGTTTAAACTCATCAATTCTATTACTGTTTTTTATGTCTACACTTAAATTATTCCATATTTTTACCCCACTTATGGAAATACAAAATCTTCTTTTGGTTGTACGTATAGCATGAATTTTTAAATTTAACTGACCCCTTAAATTGTATCCCCCTCCCCTTTCATTAAATAGTTTTTGAATTCCACCAGGTAATAAATTGTTCCTGGCTTTATACATAAACGCTGCAGTCTTATATCCCACTAAATCAAAACATTTTAACAATTTAGACTGTATGAAAGCTCCATTGGTGTGATCCCTATATCCCATCTTATGCACAATTCTTATCGCTCTTTTTTGTAATATATACAATGGTTGAAGTGAGCTTGTGTATGTATTTCCCCAGTTTTCAACGCCATACCCCAAGTATGGTAAAATCAATGAAGAATACAAAATGCGTAGTGCTTTCCCGTCCAAAATATATCTAACCCTTGCCAATATCGATATGTTTTTTGCTATTTTGTGCTGAACATATCTGATATGAGATTTCCAGGAGAATTTGTCATCAACTATGACACCTCAAAATTTAATTTCATATACTCGTTCTATATTAGCTCCCCCAATTTTCACTTGCAGGTCGTTATCTAGTCTACGATTCCCAAATACCATAAATATAGTTTTATCCATATTCAGAGATAGAATGTTACTATCACACCATTTCTTTATCTTCTCAAGAACCACCCAGAAAACACCAACAGCCCTGGAACAAGGCCTTTCACTGAGGAAAAAAAAAAAACTCTCAGTCAGTTGCGTCTAATGTGCACGATACCTGATGGCCACTTTATTGATCTGCCGCCAAAGATATACAGTCTACCCAAGGATAGTCAGCTAGCAGTGACTCAGCGGTCAATATGTGCCAACCTAGTGGCCGTCTTGCATTGACCTGCTTCAAGGAGGATGTGTGGCTTCCTCTTCTTAGCCACACTCCATGCTCTCTTCACCTAAACACTATTACTCAACTGTTTTACTGTTTGTTTGTACACAGGTCTTTAAATACCATCACTTTCTGATTAGTGTAGCGTGCGTGCTCTGCTACACTCCTACATTCACCCTCAAAGGCCCTTGTCTGAATGGCTGACACAGAGCGAGAGGCAAACAGACTTGGAGTAAAAACAGCAGTAATCAGCGTGACAGCTCGCTCATTGCGCTGCATGTCTCTCTCAGGCTTGATCTTGACATCACGTCAGTAATATCACTTTAAATCCACTTCCTCTGTCAGACCACTGTGAGCAGACACTTAGGCACCACTCTGAAGCCTTTCTGTGTCTCTTCCTCTCGGTGGCTGTATCCACTGAAATGACAAGCTCTGTCAAAAATCTGCTTCATCACAAAGGCCGAACAGCCACTGGTTTGAGATGACGGATGGACTATGACTTGTTTTTTCCTTTAGTTTTAAAGAAGATGGGCTTTTACTGTATAGATTTATACCGATAAAAGTAGTTAATTTATTCTAAAGATGTATTGGATGAGATGAGATTGTTATGTTCTTTTTGAGTGTAGCAGCAGCAGAACTTGTGATCATGTGATTGTCACTGAGCTAGCCAGTGCTTCCTGGAAGCAGTCCCTGCAGCTCCTCCTGTTCTCACTTATCATGTGACGGGCATCACTGGATTACACAAATCAGTTTGTCTGTACACATGCATGCATGTGTGAGTGTATGTTTTTGCGCAAAGATTGCATTATAGCCTGTGGTTCCTTACACATTTGCACACTTGTTATTGCATTGATTCTGCTATGTGGTAATAATATAAAAGTGCCTGGTCATCAGAAGTGAATTTGAGTTTTTAGTGTTGTTTTCATTTCTTCTTCTTTTTTTTAATCACCACATTTCTTGACACAGTTGTATTTATGTATCAAGATAAGGCTTCAGATTTCAGTGCAGCTGCTGGTGTGTCATGGCAGTGGGTTTCAGAGCACATCAGCAGTTCGTTACTGAGCACAAGGAAACATTTCCCAGAGTCCCTGCTTATGTCATTTGACCATCGCACCTCTATTGACCATTGTCCCACTGGCAATGTTTACTTCACACCACACGCTGTCATGGGGTAATTAATAAATCCCAAACCCTCTGTTGCTTCCATCCAGGGGCCCTTTGTAACACACATGCTCACAAAGTGTATATGTAACAACTGAGCCTGTTAGTCGGGCTGTGCAAAATGTTTTAGCTCTGACATTTTTGCTTTGACATGTAAAGTTGTTGATGAAAGCTGGATAAAGTCTTCAGTGTGGTAAGGCTATTACTGGTCTGTTGTTTTTACTATACTTTGAAAAATGCCCAGTGCAATTTTTTGTGCTTTTTTTAATGAATAACTGCTTAAACTAATTTTGTTTCTTCTTTGTGAAGAAGCAGATACAGTATCATCTGTCAAAATTAGATCATATCTGAACTAGGCCTGCAACTAAAACATTTTTTTTACTGCTGATTAATCTGGTCATTATTTTTCAATTAATCTTTTAATTAATAAAAACCTAGTGGAAAATAACTATTACATTTTTCCAGAGCCCACAGCTGCAGTCAAATTCCCTTTTTAATTATATAACACAGAGGAAAGAAGCACTCTCTCACATTTGAGAGGCTGCAAAGAGAAGATATTTGCATTTTGTTGTTGATGAATAACTTTGGTGATAAATACCAGAAATGTCTGTCAATAAATTGACTTTTCAGTTCAGTGACAATACCAAGAAAATCTATCAGTGTAAGAAAGTGGAATATCCCTGATTAGAAATGGAGAACTTTGTTGAAGATAGGAGTCTCTGGCCTTTCTGAGCTGGAACCAGAAGGCAAGAGAGAAATGCTAAGCAGCTGATACTGTTTTCTCAGATGAGTTTGGATGACAGTCGCAAGCAGACAAAGACGTGTTTGTGTAGCAGAATGACATACCCTGTCACTGTGATAAGAGAGCTGTCTCACCTGCAGTGCTTTCTAGCGTGAGGGAGAAGGAGGCCCCCTAAGCAGTGGTCAGTGGACATCGCTTCACTTGCTAGTAACGTTATAGTTTGGGTTTTCTAGTGTAGTCTGACGGTATACACCATACATATAAACATGTGTTTAAAAGTAAAAATCTGAGTCCTTGCTCAAAAGTATCTTCTGGATGCTGGAAAATGTTTTTCTCAAAATCAATGATAATTGTCCTAAATTTACAACACATGCCTGACTTATTAGTTATGATTAAGTCTCACTGAGATCTGCATCTCTATTTAAAGACAATTTTACCACTTTGGGTATACAATGACCTGGATGACTGAGAATCTCTATTTAATTAAACGCTGAGGTATCCAGGTGGGGAACTTTTCAAGCATTTCAACATGGTAGAAGCTGCAGTGTGTCCCTGATATTCTCTCTGTAATTACATGATGAAATATTTTGACTAGATTAAAGTGTGATTTACTCTTACATCAGTTAAGTAACTGTGCTGTATCGTTCCTGGTCCACCACTGTGTTTCCTCATCCAACAAAATGACACAGATAACCATTTAACCAGAGCTTTACACGTTTCAAGGGCTCAGTAATAACATTTGCATTACTGCTGACCACATTATAAAGCATGTCAAAGCACTTTAGAAAGTTTGTCTTTCTTCCACACAGTCAGTGGTTAGCGTGCATTTCTAGACGACATGAAAGCTTTGAAATGTGAAACTTTACTTGAAACATGTAATCCATCATAATGAGCATCAAGTCACATGCTTTTCATTTTTGTCAGTGTTAAGTTGTGGCTGTGCAGCAATGCAGGGGAGACATTTTGATTCATTCAGCACTTCTAGGTTTCTGTGCAGTGATAGCTTTGACTTTGAGCTACCTGATCCAAGCAAGGCTCAAGTCCATGCAAGTTAATTTTGTACTATACTAAACTACTGTAAATGGAAACCAGTGGCTGACTAAAAAGGGAAAACTCAAACTTAAAATCTTAGATGCTAAAACATGTTTTGAATAGCAGTCAGCACTCTTGTTAAGTATATGTATTCTGTAGTAAACAAAATGGTTGACATAGTTCTTAAAATTAGTGAGTCATTAGAATGCATGGGAATAAACTGACCTTTGCACTGAGGGAATTTAGTGTTAAGACTTGTATGAACATGGTAACCTGATGAAAAAAACAAAAACATAAGGCTAAAATCTTTTGCCTTTCTCCTTTGCTATAAAGTTTTATGAATCATTGTCCTGCTTTGCACATGTTTCATTATTTAACCTGAACTACATGGGTGAACTTAGTTATTGTTACTTGGCGCCAGCAAGAACGAATAGGACCTAAACACACATGCTCATATGTATATATACCGTATACATGAAACTGTTTCAAACACAGGCCCAGGCTTTGAGAAATCGACACCTCTATGTGGAGGCAACAGCAGCTCCAAAATGTGACAAATTCATCCTCTATCCACCAGTTTCCCCCTTCAATGCAACACACCCACACCCTAAGCCAGCACAAGCCTCCACCACCACCGCCAATACCCCTCCCCTGGGCCCCCTTCAGCCGGCTGCATGTCTCTGGAGGTCGCCTTTGACGTCAGCAGCTCGACCGGGCAGAATGCCAGCCCTGTGGGCCCTTGATGGATGCGGTTGGTCTGAGAAACAGTCCACTGTGTGTAGAGCGCACAGACTCTACTCAGCCTGCTCAAACACATCTAATGACCCGTAAACACCCGACAGGCCCGTTCCCTCTCCCCTTCTTCTGTCTATCACACACACTGATGATTAAAGGAGGCACATGTGAATATGAATGATTTGTACTGCAAATGGCCAGGATAATAAACACATCCCACAGAGGCGCACTCTGCCGCTGCTCTGGTTATTCCTTGGTGTTTAAGAGAAAAGGTTTCAGTATTTCAGCACAATAAAAGCAAACTGACATGACTGCAGATATTCAGGGCAGCCTGTATTTGTGGTTGACGAGCTGGGAACTCATATGGGATTATATGAGCTAAAAAGTACAAACATTTAACCAAAGCAAAATAATACAGAAATTACAGCTCGGCTTCTGAAATCCGCTGATCCAATCATTAAGTTACAGTGATCCAGAGAGCTGCAGCATGTGTGTGTGTGTTTCCATGTTTGTCTCAGTGTGTATGTGGGACTGGGTATACCTGCAGGCCTGCTGTTGGTCTTCTTCTTCAGCCATCTGTCCACTGTCTCTGCACTCACACTCTCCAACACAAAGTCATCCAGCATCTGTGGGTGCAGTGAGAGGTAGGCCTTCACTTTCTCATCTGTCAAGCCTGAAAAACACATAAACAAAACTTGTTTTGGTTCGTGTACTACACAGCTTTTTTGTGACTAAGCTAAGTGTAAAAATAATGCTGGGGGATACTGTCACTGAAATATTAGAAAAGTGTGGAAGAGAGGAGCGTAAGAAAGCACATATCACGCTGGCCCACAGTGGTTTTGATAGTCACCCAAACAAAAGCACAGGCTAGAACCAGCCGAAGGTCATCTCTCTTTCACTTTAATTTGAAGTGAGCACAGCAGCAGTGCCTAGATTTTTGCTAAAGCGCTCAGATAGCTAGCTCAGTTATGTTTACTGTAAAGCTGTATCCCGAGGGATAGGAGCCCCCAGCAGAGGCAGCAGGATAAAGGAGGACTCGATTGTGCCTAATAGGCAATTAGGTTCTTGAGAGCTGGCTAAGTGCTGCTGTTTACTGTCTTTGTTGTCAGGGAAAAAAAGCCATTTGCCAGACCATCATTGAGGGAACGTTGTTCTTAATACACCTGCTGCCGTCTGAATGGCCGTCATGACCATCATGTTTAGGACACTCACGCAAAAAGGAGTGTGTGTCTAAGTTCAGCTGCAAGACTTCATGTCATCTGGAAACCGTAAATTCAATGCTGACATAAAATGCAACCAAAAAAATGAACCCTACAGCGGTGCTAAATTTATATTTAAAGGCAGACAGTGGACCTGTAATTTTGTATGTATGACTGTATAACTGTAGCATAGAAATAAGGCTGTTGTTCAGAAAACCTTGATTGTTTTTATACCACGTTCTCATGAAATGTCTGGTTATCAGCAGCATCTGTGTAGACTCCCTTCAAGTATGAATCACAGGAGTACATGCAGCTGGAAGGCATGTGTTCTCCCTTCAGATACACACACACACATGCAGCATGAAAATATCACTAAGTGTGGTGTCTGTCTGAAATCCTGTATAGTAACAGGGGAATGAATTGCTATAGACACTTATGGAAAACAAAACAGGACATGAAGGGTGAACAGATGACAAAATAAAACCAGATGCAAGATGTAGAAGCATCCACTTCAGCTGCAGGTAACTGCAGGCAAATAAGGCAAATAGAGGAGGGGGTAAATCTGGGGGGTGGAGGACACCGCAGTGTGACACTGTCCAGACATGAGACACGGCTCTTCACGAGACTCCTGGCCAGCTCTGACGCACATCGACAGAACCCAACTTAATAAATCAGAGAAAGTTGGGGTGGGGGGTGAAGACAGCTGCAGGGGACGTAGCGAGAGAAATAAAATGGGGGAACGGCAAAAGACCCATACAACTTTGTCCTATTTAAAACACAAAGAAGGCATTGTGATCACAGACACCACAAAAAATAAATAAATAAAATAAAAACAAGGATTCTGTATGCATTTATGAATACAAGTTTTGTATTGTCAGGCTCTGAAAATTATTTAGCTATAATACATTATGTGTGCCCATGAACAAAACTTGTGAAAACATATTTCCATAGTGGGAAAAAACAAAACTGTGGTGTTAAGAATTTTGCAGTGGGAATAAAAATGGTAATAAAACAAGTGGGAATACATTCCAGTGTATCTGTCAGCTAATCAATATCTGCCTACTTAGAGGAAAAGGCTGTCTGCATTTTTACAGTATGTACTTTTTGTTACTGTAAACAAACGAGAAAAAAAGATCACAACCAACAGTGTGTTAGTCTATACGTCTGTCTGATTTTCCATGGAAGTCTCTTTCATGGACTTAGAGCTGTCAGCTAAGCCACGCTTTCAGTAAAAAAAATGTTTAAAACATTTCCTAAAACAGCCGAGCACTGCAGTTTTATTAAATGTTACTGCATTTGCTGGGGACTATTCTCAGCTTTGAATTACAAATGTGTAAAAACAGTGTTTCTGGGGTCGACTCAAAACAAACTGCAGTTCGTAATGAAGGAACATGTCACCCAGTGTGGCTCAGTGTGAGACGAATTTATTAGTATTTGGACAACAACGGGGCTTCGTGGCACAGAGGAATAAGCTTCAGATGGGTGGCAGATTAAAGGAAAATCCTGACTAAATGAGTGGAAATAAATAAATGCAGGGGCCACTGTTTTAATCTGCTAATTATTTTCTTGATCATTTTGGTTTATCTTTAATCTTTTAACCAACAAATCCAAAGATATTTTGTTTGTTATCATGTACAACAAAGAAAATGATCAATTCTTCACATTAAATAAGGTGTGCAGTGTACTGATCAAAAAGGTAAATGCTGTCAATTTCAGTTAAAGCTCTCTGGGAAAAGGAGCCAGAGGAACAACTGGTTTGACCCTAGAGAGCACTATGATGTTGCACGACAGTGAATGATGGTATTTATTTCCACATGATCCTTTTATTTTCTGCCGACCTTACAGGCTTTCCCTCTGATTCTTCCTGAAGTCTTTAAAGCTGCAGCTCAACCTAATGTGACCGCAGTGACACTCAGAGCTGTGGGATATGCGTCAGTGTCCCGGGCCTTCGACTATGACGGCTAATCAAAGGTGCAGTCAGATCTGTTCCACATGCTGTGGTCCAGCATGGTTAACCCCGCCGGGAACCGCATGCGATCCCTCAGTCTGGAGAGAGAGACTGCTGTGGTTTTTTTCTTTTAATTCTGTCAAACCTCTGAATTTTTCCTTCCCACTGGGGAACAACACTGCTGAAGACAACGGCATTGTCAAGACAAATACAAAAATGTTTTTCATTTGACTCTAATGATAGAGAAACATATTGGACACGTCAAACAAAAAGTTTTTAAAAAGTCTGAATCCTCATCAGCATCCTCATCAATACACTCTTTTTAGATTTGTTGCATTTTAAAATGTTCAAAATCTTCACCAGTCCATGAAATGTATGCCCCGTGACTGATAAAATATATGACATTAGATTGTTAATACTGACGCTCTGATGCATAAGTGGCACGTTGCTGTAGATACAAGGAGCTTACCTACTTTAAATACAGTTATGTAGTTTAGTCAGTTGGTTCTCAACCTAGGTCAGGCTCCTCCACAAGATACACAAGATACCTTTAAATCTGTGGGGTTCATGAGGCGTTTAACAGAGCAG